TATATATATATACCACATCTTCTTTATCCATTCATCTGTCATTGGACATCTTGGCTCTTCCCATAGTTTGGCTATTGTGGACATTGCTGCTATAAACATTGGGGCGCACGTACCCCTTCGGATCCCTACATTTTTATCTTTGCCTTCAGATCACTATATTTGTATCTTTGGGGTAAATACCCAGTAGTGCAATTGCTGGATCGTAGGGTAGCTCTATTTTCAGCTTTCTTTGCTGTGCAAAAGCTTTTTATCTTGATGACGTCTGAATAGTTGCTTCCCTTGCCTTTGGCGATGTTTCTAGGAAGAAGTTGCTGCGGCTGAGGTTGAAGAGGTTGCTCCCTGTGTTCTCCTCTAGGATTTTGATGGATTCCTGTCTCACATTTAGGTCTTTCATCCATTTTGAGTCTATTTTTGTGTGTGGTGTAAGGAAATGGTCCAGTTTCATTCTTCTGCATGTGGCTGTCCAGTTTTCTGGACACCGTTTTGAAACAGGATCTTGAAGAGGTATCTGCACTTCAGTGTTCTTTGTAGTGTTATTCACAATAGCCAAGATTGGAAACAACTTAAGTGTCCTTTGACCGATAAATGGGGGAAAGTGTGGTGTATATATACATAGAATGGAATATTCAATCTTGAAAAAGAAGGAAATCCTGCAGTGTGTGACAGCATGACAGCATGCATGAACCTGGAGGATGTTGTGCTAAGTGAGCTAACCAGTTATAGATGGACAAACACTGCACGATTCTACTTAAGGGATTCTAAAATAGTCAAACTCGGGGCGCCTGGGTGGCTCAGTTGGCTAAGTGTCTGCCTTCAGCTCAGGTCATGATCCCAGGGTCCTGGGATCAAGCCCCGCATTGGGTTCCCTGCTCAGCGGGAAGCCTGCTTCTCCCTCTCCCACTCTCCCTGCTTGTGTTCCCTCTCTCGCTGTGTCTCTGTCAAATATATAAAGTCTTCAAAAAAAAATAAAATAGTCAAACTCATGGAAGCAAAGCATAGGTTGGTGGTTGCCAAGGGCTGGGTGGAGGGGGAAATGGGAAGTTGCTAATCAATGGGTCTAAATTTCAGTTAGTGCTAGATGAGTAAGTTCTAGAGAGCTACTGCACAACATTGTGTGGATAGTTAACAGTACTGTATCGTATGCTTAAAAATCTGTTAAGATAGACCCCCCCAATTACCTGTTCTTACCACAATACAATAAAGAAGATAAAAGGAAAAAAGGAATGAGACTATGAAAATAACCCAGCAGATCTGAGAAAGAACCAAATAGAACTAGAAATGAAAGTAGCAGAATTGATATTTAAAATGCAGTGGTTAGAGGTGCCTGGGTGGCTCAGTCGGTTAAGCGTCTGCCTTGGGTTCAGGTCATGATCCCAGGGTCCTGGGATGGAGCTCCACTTCGGGTTCCCTGCTCAGCGGAGGGTCTGCTTCTCCCTCTGCCTCTCCCTCTGTCCCCACCTTCCCTTACTCCCCCAGCTTCTGCTCTCACATTCTATCTCAAATAAAAATCTTTTTTAAGATTTTTATTTATTTATTTGACAGAGACACAGCGAGAGAGGGAACACAGGCGGAGTGGGAGAGGGAGAAGCAGGCTTCCCGCCGAGCAGAGAGCCCAGACGTGGGGCTTGATCCCAGGACCCTGGGATCGTGACCTGAGCCAAAGGCAGGCGCTTAATGCCTGAGCCACCTAGGTGCCCGTCAAATAAAAATCTTAAAAAAAAAAAATGCAGTGGTTAATTTGAACAGCTAGACAGTAACATGCAAACTAGAAGATTGATCTGAAGAACTCAGAATGAAGTAGAGTGACAAAAGGGAAATATGAGGGAAATGTAAGGGAAATATAAAGATGTTAAACATGTATCGACAGATTCAATCAGATTCTAGGAGAGGATAGAACGGGGAAAGGCAGTATTTAGGGAAGTAATGGTTAAGAATTTCCACAATTGATGAATAAAAAGATGCTAATTCATAGATTCAGGGAGCCTAACATATCCTGAGCTAGATTAGTAAGGAATTAGTGAAACCACGTAGAACACCAAGGGCAAAGAAGATCTTAAAAGTTGACAGAACTAATAGAATACCTACAAAGGAATGTTAGTTAGGTCAACAGAAGCCTTCTCAAAAGCCAGAAGATAAAAAAATCTTCAAAGTGCTCAGAGAAAACAATTGTCATCCTAAAATTGTGTACTGAGCTAAGTCATCTTTTAAAACCAAGAGCTTAGTAAGGATTTTCAAAAAAAAAAAAAAAAAAAAAGAGAAAGGGGGGAATTTGCCATTAACAGATCCTCACTAAAGGAATTTACAAATAGGAAGAAGCAATATTACTTCAGAAAGCAGCTCTGAGATGCACTAAGGACCCTGAGCCAGGAGACCTTTAACACAGGGGTATGTCTGCACAAATGTGGACTAAAGGAAGCGCTAATCATTCCTAAGAATGTTTACAGGGTTAAAAACCTCCAAGAAGGAAGTAAAGGAAGTGTGTAATTGCTTGGGTTTGAGAAACATGGACGTAGACAACTGCTTATTAATGCTTTGTGTGTCCTTTTTGTCTGATAACTACCATTTGTCGAGCAACCCTGTTCCAGGCACTCTTCTGAGTGCTTTTCCACGCTTTGTGCTCATAGGAGTCTGACAAAGTAGGCATTCTCATTATCCTCACTTGACAGGTGAGGAATCTGACAGAGGGATTTTTCTGACAGAGCAGACCAGGGTACTGCTGCTCATAAGTGGCGGAGCCCAAATTTGAACCTCTGCCCATCTGAATCTGAGGCGTTTTCCTGTTGATTAGTATACATGATCTTAGCATGGAAGAGATACATTTCCTCCTAGGCAAAGAGCTTCTCTTCTGCTTAAAGAGTAAGAATATTTGGGTTTGTTTTGCACACACAATTGCTAACCTGTCCAGGCAGTTCTGTGTTTGACTTTAGATCTTCAGTGTTCTCTGTGATGCAGGCATGTTTTTTCCTTTGATTTGAAATGTCTGTCCTTAAGATTGGCTATGCTGATGGTCTTTGCCTTTCTCCTAGGGCTGTGTGCAAGAAGTTTGGGCTGCATGTGAGTCGAATGATGCTAGCCTTCTTGGTTCTTAGCACTGGCATGTTTTGCTCCTCATCAGGTAAGTAAAAGGGCAGGTGAGGGCATAACAGGTGCACTGAACTTTCACAGTTGCATTGAAAGGGAGAACTTGTGTAGGCATAGGTTATGTTTGGATGCATATCAGTAATTTGCAGAGCACTGTTTTCTACATGATCTTCATCAACCCTTATAGCAATTTTGTGTTAGGGGTAAGAAACATTTTCTCATTTTTGCAGATGAGGTTATGGAAATTGAGAAAAGTGAAATGACTTACTGGGAGTCAACTCATAAATAGCAGAGCTTTCTATTTCATGTCGCTTTCTATTACATTATTGTATATATATATTTTTATTACCATAAGGCTGAAAAACACCAGCACCCTCTGCCTTTCCTTGCTGTTAGGGGAAGAGAAATAATTTTGTTATCTTGCTCTTGTTTGTGTCTAAAAACCGTGTTCTTCATGATTCTGCTTTCTGCCCATTATTTGCAATGTATTCTATAAAGGTATGTATCCTCTGTTGGGCCTTTTTTTTTTTTTTAACAGTACACTTAAAGAGAATTAGACTATAACCTTAGAGTGGTGGCTTGCAAGTTGGGCTGCCATTGAATATTTCTGTTCTCTGAGCCATGGTGGCCTGCTGCCAAAAGGTAGCCTGTTTCCACTTTTCTGGAAAAATTAAGCTACTAGATATAATAATTTCAATTTTAATTTCTGTTTGTGTGTACCGGAATCTAGTATACACATGAAATATACATAAAAATAGTGTTCAGCACAAAAGTGTATATTTAACTTCATTGACTGTATCAAAATCTATGTGGTTGTGCAGAGACCTTACGAGAGTCACTGTCCTCAGTGAGACTGTGCTCTCCCCTCCAGGCCGGCAGAGACCCCCGATTTCTCTGCTCCTTTGTCCTCTGCACTGGCAGCCGTAACTGACCACTTCGGATAGCATCAGTATTATTTGGCATTTGTCTGTGAAGCTTGTACCTCATGTTTTTTTGGTTACTTTGCTACTGCTGAAGTTGATTCTTAGGAGAGGGAGATACTCAGGAGTACCTTTAGCTTTGTCATCTCAGGTGAGAATGAGAAGGCACAGAGAAGTTCAAAGCATCCTTTGCCGGGCGCCCGGGCGGCTCAGTCGGCTGAGCGACTGCCTTCGGCTCAGGTCGTGATCCTGGAGCCCCGGGATCGAGTCCCACGTTGGGCTCCCTGCTCAGCAGGGAGTCTGCTTCTCCCTCTGACCCTCCCCCGTCTCATGTGCTCTCTCTCTCTCTCATTCTCTCTCTTTCAAATAAATAAATAAATCTTAAAAAAAAAAAAAAAGCATCCTTTGATACACAGCCTCTAAACGCTTTACTGAGTTTGGGAGATCATATGGCCTATTTGTGGTCCTTGCCTCATGCTGATGTTTCTTCCCTAGTGCTAGGTGAAGCAGGCCTATACAGCCTGGAGAGGCAGATCTGCATTTTTGTGTAAAATTGTTAGAAACTCTGATCAGATGTTACTGTTGCAGAGACCGCAGAGACCCTGAAAGTACTCAGTTCCTCTGCTGTTTACTACAACAAAGTAGTGCTAAGTGGAAGTAACTAGGAGACGTCTACAGGCCGAACTATCTATGTCCGTCGATGCAGGATGCAAAGCAGGGTTGCCATCCAATATTTGGCCCTTGAGAAGGCTTCCCAGAATTCCTAGAGGGTAATGGTTAGTGCCCGGACAGTCTCAGAAGACTATCAGAAGATAAACTGCTTCAGAAATAGTCAGCAATGGTTCTAAATTTCTTGCAGCATATTCCCTGCCTGGAAGTATAACCTGGAATTCTCTAAGTTTTGGATTTGGGGTACCGGCCAGGAGAGGAATGGCGTGCTTGGCATTGTATGACTAAGCATGTGTTGGTACCTTAAAAAAACAAGAGTGAGAAAATAAAAATTATTGAACTTCATTTTTTTTTAAGGAGTATCACTTTACTGCACAATTCTAATATATTTTCCTCAAAATATGTTGGTTATTAACCATCTGAGCCACCCAGGCGCCCTCAAAATATGTTGGTTATTGACATCGTGCAATGTGGGTAAATTTTTAATAACACCTAATAAACCTCAAACTCTTGTCCCTCCCCCCTCCCTTTGTGTTCCCCGTTTCTTTTCACTCTTGCAGCATTCCTTCCTAGCAGCTTCTGTATGTATACCACATTGGTAGCCATGACTGGCTGGTATATGGACAAGACTTCCGTTGCTGTGCTTGGAGTAGCCGCTGGGGCTATCTTAGGCTGGCCATTCAGTGCTGCTCTTGGGTAAGGGACTAACACAGTTCATCTTCCTTGTATCCCTGGGCATACATAGTAAATCTCCATGTTAGCTTATCTCCATGTTCTCTGGTAATGACCTAAAGTTACAGGAATGAGTTGGACTTACAGAGATTATGGGAAATGGAAGAATATTTCTCTTGGTGCATATTGTTGATTAATTCTAGTAAGAATAGTAACTATTAAGTCTCTGCTGCATGTTAGCTGCTGCTAAACCCCTTAGAAACTGTATTCCTAAGCCTTACAACAGCTTTGCAGGAGAAATACAATCATTAGTGCTTTATTTTTTTAATTTTTATTTTTTAAATATTTTATTTATTTGAGAGAGAGCATGTGCATGAGTTGGGGGAGGAACAGAGGAAGAGGGCCAAGCAGACTCTGCACTGGGCTTGATCCCAGGACCTTGGATCACTACCTGAGCCAAAATCAAGAGTCAGTCGCTTTACTGACTGAGCCATCCAGGTGCCCCAATCATTAGTGCTTTATAAATGAGAAAATAGAGTCCAAGAGGGTAATTTGCCTTTAAGATTATGTTGGGGCACCTGGGTGACTCAGTTGGTTAAGCACTGACTCTACATTTCGGCTCAGGTCATGATTTCAGGGTTGTGAGATCAAGCCCTGCGTTGGACTCTGTGCTCAGCGTAGAGTCTGCTTGAGATACTCTCTCCCTTGTCCCTCTCCCTGCGCGCGCTCTCTCTCTCTCTCTCTAAATAAAGTCTTAAAAAAAGAAAAAAAAGGGCGCCTGGGTGGCTCAGTAGGTTAAGCGACTGACTGCCTTCGGCTCAGGTCATGATCCTGGAGTCCCGGGATTGAGTCCCGCATCGGGCTCCCTGCTCAGCAGGGAGTCTGCTTCTCCCTCTGACCCTCCCCCCTCTCATGTGCTCTCTCTCTCTCTCATTCTCTCTCTCAAATAAATAAATAAAATCTTAAAAAAAAAAATTGTTTGCTTTAGGATCCAGGCCTCCCTGAGCCTGCCGCTGGTGTGTTTTCCACACCACACCATTCTGTGTTGTGCGTTTCCCACTCACCAGGCCTGAAACTGGACACTCCTCTTGTATTCCTTGTTCCCACCACTTCTGCTCTAGTCTGTGCTGCCTTCACTTCTTACCTGCACTGCTAGTAATTTAGAAAAATACTGTACTTTGATGTGAAGGTTATTATAGTACAGTTGACGCTAACAACAAGGAGGTTAGGGGTGCTGACCCCCTGCACTGTTGAAAACCTGCATGTCACTTTTGACTCCCCAGAAAGTTTACAATAGCCTATTGTTGACAGAAGCCTTACTGATAACTTAATTAACATGTATTTTGTATGTTGCATGTATTATATATTCCTAATCATAAAATAAGCTAGAGAGAAGAAAATGTTACCATGAAAATAAAGAAGAGAAGGTATATTTACAGCACTGTACTATATTTATTAAAAAACCCCATATATATGTGGACCCACACAGTTTAAATCCATGTTGTTCAAAAGTCAACTGTAGTAGTATATTTTTATTATAAAAAAAGTTCCAGGGGCGCCTGGGTGGCTCAGTCGTTAAGCGTCTGCCTTTGGCTCAGGTCATGATCTCAGGGTCCTGGGATTGAGCCCTGCATCGGGCTCCTTGCTTAGCGGGAGGCCTGCTTCTCCCTCTCCCACTCCCCCTGCTTGTGTTCCCTCTCTTGCTGTCTGTCTCTCTGTCAAATAAATAAAATCTTAAAAAAAAAAAGTTCCAGCTTGTATGAGGTAAAAAAAATTCTTAATTCTCTTTTCCCCTAGTCTAATCTTCAAAGGTAGTCACTAATACTTTTGTATATCTTTCCAGAAATTGTCCATGTGCATACATACCGTAAATTCTTAGAATAATCCTGTAACTATATATATCTTCTATGTATGTAGACTTAGTTCTTTGTGTGGGTTGCATAGCATTCTATTATCTGACCATAATTTAGCCATTGCCTTATTGGTAGATATGTGGTTTTGTTTTTTGCTATGATGTACAATGCTTCAGTGAACATTTTTGTACGAATGTCTATACGTTTATGGAAATTTATGGGGTAAATTTTTAGGAGAGTTAAAGGTATTCTAGAGGACAGGTATTCTAAATTTTCTTAATTGTGTTTTAAAGGCTGGTTTCCCCACCTCCAGTCTTCTATTTTGCATATCGTCAAAACAGAGATTTTGTGTGAGGCCGTCTTCTATCTTTTCTCCTGTCTTTCAACCATCTTGATGATTCTCATATCTTGAATCTGGTCCAGTCGTCTCATATGTTCCTGGTTGCCTATTAGATATCTCCTTTTCTACAGCTAAACATTTACAAAACTGAGCTCATCACCTTCTCTCCATACCTGTGCTTTTAGCTATGTTTCTAACTCAGTAAATGGTACCACCATCTTCTCAGTGCTGAACCAGGAACCTGAAAATTACCTGTGACTCTTTCTCCTCTGTCCTCTTTATTGTACCTCCTGAATATCTTGAATCTGACTACTCTTCTTCACCTCTGCTCCTGGGTTACCAGACAGCCTCCTAAATGATCTTCCCATCTCTAGGCTTGATCTCTGTAAATCTGCTCTCCACAAACTATAGAGTTATCGTCCTAAAATGCAAATATGATTATATCACTCCCTGTTTTGTTTTAAACTCTATAATAGCTTCCCCATTCCTCTGTGTAACAGAGGCTGGTAACCTGTGACCCGTGGGCCCAGTCTAGCTGGTCATCTTTTGTATAGCCCAAGAACTAAGAAGTTGTCACATTATAAAGGGTTGCTAACAACACACACTACTGACAGACACACACAGAATATGCAACAGAGACCATATATGGCCTGTAAAGCCTAAAATACATACTGTTAGGTCCTTTAATTAAAAAGCTTGCTACCCCCTGCTCTGTGGTGTCCAGATTCTAACATGACCCACAAAGTCCTGATCTTACCTCCTTTTTACCTCTCCAACTGTTTTTGTCAGTTCCTCTGTTCCTTTTACTCTGCACCATTGACATTGAACTTTGTGAGTTCTTCAAATACCTCTGGCTGGCATGTTTTGATTGATCTGCCTTTAGCCTAGATAAGGGATTTTAGGATTGCTGTCAGTTCGCAGTTTACCATCATTTACTGAATACTTTGTGTTAGGCGCTGCTGGTACTTTGATAAAGAAGAGAGTTATGGTTCTTGCTCTTCTGGAGCTTACATTTTAGTAGGAAAAACAGACATTGAACAAGTAACTAAAAGTATGATTACTTACCAAAGGAGAAGTAGAGATGCCATGGAAATATAGCTAGTTGGGCAGAAAAAAATGAAAACACAAATGTTAATGCAAAATTTAGATAATAGAATGTGGAAGTTCATATCACAGAAGAAATACCTTGTGATAGCACATGGCATTGCTAAATAAATGACAGAGATGGTAATGCCATGTGAATTCAGAGGCTGGAGAAATTGGTTCTGCAGGGATTGTTCTGCAGAGGAGTCGAGAGCAGAGCCTGTAGTGGACATTTGGGTAAGTTCTGTAGAAACAGACTGGTGTGGGGAGGGAATTCCTTATGACTGGAGCATGGGTAAGGATTCTGACTAGTGTTCTAGATTTGGAGGTCATGGTTATGGAGGTGATTGTTCATGTAAGAGAGGGAGTACTTACTGAGAAAATGAGTGTAGAGAAAGAAGAGTAGAAGTTTGCTTCTAGGACCTAGGACCATGGTAGGGCACAAAAAAGACATCTAGAAAGGAGCGCTTGGGAAGAGGCCAGGAAAGAACAGGAGCCAGGAAGCCTAAAGAGGAAGGAAGAGATGCTTTGTGTCAAGTGCTGCAGAAAGACCAAAGGAGGTGAAGCTCGTGAAGAGTTACTGGGTCTGGAGGAGAGGAGGTTCCTGTTGACCTTACATCCATCTCACGAACTTGAAGCCAGACCTTCAGGACAAAGTAGTGAAGGCAATATACATACACCACTTGCTTGAAGAATTTAAGTGAAAGGGAGAAGAGCAAATGGTGTTGGAAGGAAATATATCAGAACTGATATATCAAAGTTTATAGTGTTATTAAAACCTTTATAAATCATGGAAGAGATGAGTATTCATTTGGCCGGGTGGGTGTAGGACTGCAGGGCACATTCACTTACAGTTCATATATTTTGAATGTCTGTTACACATAAATACATATAAAATGGAGCTCTTCCCATAAGCTCAGTATTAATATTTCTTGTGTATCATGGGGTGCACAGTACTCCCGTGGGCTCTATGAAGAGGACACTGTACTGTGGAGAAGACATCCTCTCCTAGATCAGCTTTCTTTCCTCACTGTTAACGGCTAGAGACATTTTTTTTCCCCTGTTCAGCATGACGTATGTGTGAATCTGACTTGTTTGAGTCTATATTCTAAGTATTTTATTTAACTTCCTGTTTTGTTTCTCTGTTAAATAGTTTACCCATTGCCTTTGATTTGCTGATCATGAAACACAGGTGGAAGAGTTTCTTTCATTGGTTTCTGGTGGCTCTAATACTCTTTCTGGTGAGTTTTATTTTTTCTTTGTTTTGTTTTACAGTTGTAATGAAAGCATGTTGATGTAGGAAAGAGAATATGAGGAATTCATTCTGTTTTTCATTTTGAAGTTTATTCTGTTAGCATTGGGAGAATATTTCCAGGACAAAACCCTGCAATTGGTGTCTATTTTCTGCTCTGTCGTAGGTGCCTGTGGTGGTCATTGACAGCTACTACTATGGGAAGCTGGTTGTTGCACCACTGAACATCATCTTGTACAATGTCTTTACTCCTCATGGACCTGATCTTTATGGTAAGGCCTTAGGGAATCTGGTGAAGAGTAGGAGATAGCTTCATTTGCCTGAGCTTTGAAATTTCAGCTCAGTTGCTTTATTTCCTCAAATACAGCATTTCTTTGCTGGTAATCTTAATTAAAAGTAAATGACATTTGCATATAGCACAGTGATGGTAAGTAGTAAATATTTCTTCTTGAATAATGTGATTCCTTCCTTCCTTCCTTCCTTCCTTCCAAGATTTATTTGAGAGAGAGTGCGCACATATGAGTGTGGGGAGGGGCAGAAGGAGAAGGAGAGAAAAACCTCAGCAGACTTCTCGCTGAGCAGTCCCAATGCGGGGCTTTATCTCAAGACCCTGAGATCATGACCGAAGCTGAAACTGAGAGTTGGATGCTTAAGTGACTGAGCCACCCAGGCACCCTTTGATTAATGTGATTTCTGTTAGTCCTGCTGTCATTCTCAGCATGCCTTGGCTCTTGATGCTACTTTTTTAAATTAAAAGTTACTTTTTTCTGTTCTCATTAGAAAACCAGTATGACAACAGAAATAGGAAAATAGAAACACTCACAGTTCCATTATCTCCAGATGGCTGTTGTTAACAGCTTGGAGTATATTCTTCCAGAGGTTTTCTGGACAGAGACAACATTTGGTATTACTTGTTCTTTTTAAAATTTGCCTTCGGTATCAGGCATTAGGAGAGAAAGTTTGGAAAATGTGTAGACAAAGCAGAGCAAATGGTAGAGTCAGCATGAGAGGGGGGTAGTTTGGCCAGTTTAGGGTTGAGAGGAAAAAAGTGAGATGCCTTTAGTCTGGGGAAGGCGTTCTCCATCGCCCCCCCCCCCACGCCACACCTTATCCTCAGCTAACCCTGAGCCTGTTTTATTTGGCCCTCTGGGGCATTTGAGTTAGACAGTTCTAGAGGGATGACCTAGAGATCTTCCTGGTCAGATCTGCCATTTTATGAGACTGTTTTTCATTAAAATAAGTGTAGTTTCTTTTGCATTAATTTTCTGAAGGTCTTGAAGCATTTTGTGTAAGTGATCATCTTGGGGCTCTGCTGTGAAGCAGGTTAATAAGACCTCTGTGTCTTATCAGTTTAAGCCATGTCCATCACTTTTCTGTGATACTTTGCCAACAGAACCAACAGATTGGATGACGAGATTTAAAGTAAGCATATGAGTGAGATTTAACTGGACCTGTTGGAATTTGTGGAATATTGTTATTTTAGAGGGCAGTAGGTTATAGGTCAAAATCATGTTTTGTTCAGTGACCTGAATTCACAAACTGCCTTGTTTAGAGAATAATTGCTAAGTGAAGGAATTTTAATTCTTTTTAAAGTTTAAATAATCTCTACACTCCACATGGGGGTCCACCTCACAACCCCAACATCAGGAGTCACACACTCCTCTGACTGAGTCAGCCAGGAGCTCCCTAAGTGAAGGAATTTTAAAAGGTGTTATACACAACTAATGAATTGTTGAACATTACATCAAAGACTAATGATGTACTATATTTTGGTTAACTGAACATAATCAAAAAGAAATAAAAGGCCCCTTTAGGACTGACTCCAAGATCCCCAAGGATGTGAGAAAAAGCTACAATTTTAAGCATTTGCCTCTAGATGTCTCCCTTTAGCTAGAGAGAGTTTGTATGTTTGTAATTGTCCCTTGTTTTAGTTGTCTTGTAAAATTTTATTTGGTTCTACAAGTCAATAGAAGGAAGACTCCCCTCTTAGACCCAGACTGCACACTAGAAATTGATTTACTGGAATCTATTGGAAGCATAATATCCATTATATATGGGTGAATAAGTTATGTCAATTTCAATTTAATTTTGGGAAACTGGCATTACCTTTTAAACAGGTTATTACATAATGACGTTTTGATTGCTCATTTATAAAACTTTGAGACTATATGAAAGCAGTTGCTGAGATAGATGAGGTTTATAAATCTAGTAATTTACAGGTTGGCCAGGAGAGTAGAAAAGAAAGAATAAATTCTTGTTTATGTTTCTGGTTTAACAGTGGCTGGGTGGAGGATCTTTGTTTTGGGATCCAGCAGAGACGTGGCCAGTCTTTCCTTGGATGTTGGCATCTGCCATTCATTTTGGCCAGTGCTTGCCTGGGAGGAGTGCCTGGAGCTCTGTTCTGCCTGCTTTGATGAACCTGGGATGACTTCAGTGCAGATTTTGCTATTTTGAATGTACAGGAACTGATCACTTTCCTAGTGATGGAAAAAGCTCTGTTGGGACAGAATGCATTGTCTTACTGGGTGTCAACAGGACTGATGCAGTGCTATAGTCAGTCAGACTTGAGGGGGTTGTTCCTTGATGGTAGAATTTTTGTGCTTTTACCTCATCTTTGAATTTGACAATTTTGGGGTGGGGTTGATTTCCATTCTTTTAAAGTGTAATTAATTCCTTCTGCAGAGAAAATACTTCTTACATCTTAGAAGTAAGTGTTCTTTGTGTATTCTAGGTCCTCAATAAAGATTTGTCATGATGAATAGATGGGTGAACAAATTTGGGAGTATCCATCAGATTATATTATGCCCTGATCACTCTTCTGTCCTACAGCTATTTTGGTTAGACCTGTTGTGGTGTATTAGATTGGAATTTTTTTGATACCAAATAAAAATAATAGAGGTAAAAGTACTTTTAAAAAATTATTTTATTTTTTAATTAACATAATGTACTACTTGTTTCAGAGGTATGATGATGAATCACAGGTCATGATTCATCAGTTGTACATAATTCACAGCGCTCACCATAGCACATGGTAAAAATACTTTTTAAAGCAGAGTACTTTGATTGTCAGCTAACTTATAATGGGTGAGTCCATTCAGTAAATACCAAAGACTGACTTTTTAATAAATGCTTTGATGCTGATGTCAAACAGTGAGACAGCGTATCTTTTGTCATGGAAACTCCAGCTCTTTTACTTTGCCTACATGTTTGGCACTAATTAGCATTATTTTGACTATTTTGTAAGACTTTCCTGTTCCAAGTGCTTCATTGGCTATGGTAGGCACGTTTCTTATCTGAAAATTACAAATGCATTGTGTTGATAGTTTCTGCCTTCATGTCTTAGTGCTGTTTCTTATATATAAGCCTGTAATACTTCTTGAACAGATAGTTAACTGGATTTCAGCTAAAGAAACATTGAATAAATTGCCTTTGGGTATTTGTGTCCTCATAGCATTTGCTGTGCAATAAGGCTGCAGTTACAGGAATAGATAATTATAGTCCAGTGTATTATGTGCTACAGTAGAAAGATGGGGAATCCTAGGAGCAAGTCCATCTGGTGGTAGCAAGAAGACTTCTTAGAGGTTGTGGTTCTTGAGCTAAGCCTGGAAGGAAGTAAAAGTTTAGTGAGTAGATGCTAGAGGAGTGTATTTCAGACAACTATGATGTCCAGTGTAGGTACTGCTGAGACAAAAGATTGAGCATTGGATTCTTTTTTTAAAAAGCTAAAGTAGTTTTACAGTGTTAGCTGATTTTAGGTAGAAACTGCGCAGGCATGAGCAAGATAAATTCAGTCTGTCCACTGTGATTATAATAGAAATATTTACTCTGGTGTTCCTGGTTTTCAAAGGGACCGTTCGATACTTTCTTGGCCAGAGAGCATTTATTAATGACACAGTCCAGACCTGAGCTGACTCTTTGGAAACCAGGAGAAAGAAAAGGAGTACATTTTCACAACTATTAATTACAATAGTTTCTGTTTAAAAAAAAAATGCCTGTTATATAGTAAAAATTTTATACTGCTGTCTTCTTCCCCTCACAAAAACTCTGTGAGATAGACGTTATTTATTCTTACTCGCAGCTGTGGAAACTAAGGTGGGGATGGTGAGGGACTTCCACATAATTAATAAGTGGCAGAAGTGGGATAAGAGCCCAGGGATGTCTGACTCCAAAGCCTGTGTTCTTTCCACTGAGAACAACCTCAGCAAAACCCTGGAGTTTGGCAATTGAGACTGTACAGGAGAATAAGCTTGCAGAAACAGAGCATGAGTTGGAGATAGTAGAAGATAAGATTTGATCTAAAGAAGGGGCAGGAAGTACCTGTACCTTTGAAGTGCACTTAGGCTTGGAGGATGCTCAGGAGCCTTTGGAGAGCTTCAATGGCACGATGCCATGCACACTGGCAGGCTCTCTTTCACATGGGAGGAGCATTGCGCTACCCTTGTCAAAGAAGGAATATTTGGACGAGGTAAAGAATACTTGGCATTTAGGAAATTTAGTGTAGACATAAAATTGCAAAGTCGTAGGCAAAACATCCCTTTGGTGTCAAAGATCAAGAAATGAAATTTCATGTTGCAAGAAAGAAAGTGACTGGTCAAGGCACTGATTTTGCTCTTACCCTTGTAACATTTCAAGTTCGTAGATGTTGAGGTTGATAAGTATTTTTGTGTGGTGAGTGAAGAATGTGTTCTCTGAGGAGGAGTACACAGGCCTGGGGAAGGTGTGGGAGGACAGGTCTGAGAAATGCTCTTCCCTCAAAAATGACACTGAGTCTGCTCAAGGATGCCACTTCGCAGCTTGGGACACAGTCCCTGCCTGTTTCTGTGTTTTTATCCACATCTGTCAGATTGCTGGACAGGACATTTTGGAAGGCAAAGGCGAATGGCCTTTATTAAAAGGCTCAAAGTTTTCCATTCTTGCGGTAGCAGAGAATGCAGCTTCCGTGAGTCTCTTGAGAGTTGACTGCCAGCCAGAGCTGTTCTAGAGCTTTCCTTCTGTTGCTAATTGTTCTTGGTGAACCTTGGTGTCTTTTTGCTCTTGGTGTTGCAAATTTGACATTTATAAGAGGATTTACTATAATTTAGTTCTTGCAGGTCTTTAAAATTATAGGTCTATAAAAAATGGTTTCCTTTCATTCAATCTGGGGAACAGTAAACATTATCCCTTCTTTTAGCGTCTTTGAAGGTTCCCTTTAGCTTATTTGAATGGAAGGAATTGAAGCACTCTCCCTAAAGAGGGAGATGGGTGAGTCATTCCCCACAGACACCCTGTTTCCAGCTTCTTTCACTGCACACTTTGCACCAGTTAAATGTGTAGCTTGTCATCCTGACGCATTTTTTTCTGCATAGTTCAGCTTTGATACTTTCCGAGAAATATCATCGAATATCTCCCTGGAAAGAGATAAAAGTTTTTCTTTTCTTTTTTAAGGCAGATGTCTCATCAAGTAGGGGAGGACACTGGCTGCAGAATTCACTATTTTTGTCCCTTTTTGCCCTTGTTTTTAAGACTGTTGCCTTGGGGCACCTGGGTGGCTCAATCGGTCGGGTGTCTGCCTTCGGCTCAGGTCATGATCCCGGGGTCCTGGCATCGAGCCCTACATCGGGCTCCCTGCTCGGCGGGGAGCCTGCTTCTCCCTCTCCCTCTGCCTGCTGCTCTGCCTACTTGTGTTCTCTCTCTCTGTCAAATAAATAAATAAAATCTTAAAAAAAGACTTGCCTCTTGAACCTTCCCCACTCTTGGCTTATCCTCCAATTTTTATCCAGTTCTTCCAGGAAGTAACAGTCAATTATGAAATGTTCATAGCCTAGCTGTGAACTTGATCTATGAGTTCCTAACAGATAAACATAGTTGAGTTTACCAACTTCATACTTTTGGTTCAGAATCTCAGACTACAGTATACCTAGGTAAAAAGATAGTCAGCCCTAGTAGGAGGGTATAATAAGTTGTGGTAGAGACAAATATTTGCTGGAAATAAAGTGCTTCCCTGAAAAAATAATATGTATTTGTAAGGATCAAAGAGAGAGAGGCTTTTTTTTCCCCCCTTCTTGATGCTTATTAGCATCTGTAAAAGATGATGTGAAAGGTGACATCATTTCTCCTAGTCACTCTGGTTTTTCTTCTCAGGCTCAGATTTCCAAATTTGTTTAGGAAAAAGGCAGGTCAAAGTTGATATTGCTGCCACCACATTGGTGGTCAGGAAATGATACAAAAAACTACCTTTCTTGGGGCATCTGCGTGGCTCAGTTAAGTGTCCTTCTCTTGGTCTTGGCTCAGGTCTTGATCTCAAGGTTGTGGGATCGAGCCCTGTGTCAGGTTTCTTGCTGGGTGTGGAGCCTACTTAAACAACAAAAAACCACAAAACTACCTTTCTGGAAACTGGATTCTTAAAGGACTCAATTTAGGAAATGCGTTGTTAAATACTGATTAAAATCCAGAGAAGATATGTATTTCTATATGAAAATCTTCAGTTTTCTGAAACCAAAAAGGTGATTTGTAAAGAATACCGGGTATAAATATGTCTCTAATGAACTTGGCCTGGGATAGGACCTTTGTTCATGGTCACCATCATTGTGTTTAGACAGAAAGGAGTGAGCTTTCCCAAAAGGTGACACACAATTGAAGTTGAGTCTTTCCTTAGGGTACCCCCTCCCTTTTCTCCCCTAAATGTTTCTAGCATTACGGGTTTGGTTTCTAATCTTATTTTGCTGTGCAAGCTGCAAAAATGTCAGGTTTTTCTGACTATTTCTCTGCCTTCTGATTACCCTTTTAAGCAATGCTGATTGCAGGAAATTGCTGTGGTGCAAGGCGGGTGTCACAACACACAGTGATTAAAACCCGCATGTGTCATTCACTGCCTGATTGAAGTAATCACACAGAGGGGAAGAGCAGATGAAAAACCTGCTAAATGTGCAGAGGAGGGCTGGTTCTCATCATTTGGGTTTAAGGATTTTGAGTTAAAGAATCAAAACTCATGTGAATCAGGCTTGTGTTTTCAGTCATTTTTTTTCATTCTGAGTCCTCAAAACTTCTAAGCAGGATCTGGATCTGTGAACATTATTTCTCTAAGGAAAACAACTTACTGCTTTTTACCAAATGCAGGGTTCCCTGTATACATGACTATAGAACAGTGGTTAAGCATGTCAAGGGGAAAGATCCTAGAATGTAAGTGGGACAAACAAGTGAGAATAAAACGGGGAAAGACCTGAATAGCTCAGTCCTGCAAGACTTGCCCTCTCCTCCCCCTGTCACACGCACTCCAGAGACCAATCCCAAGTCTACAGATGGTCACTTCTGACCCACTACCTGTAGATGGGAAGTTCCAACAGCCCCCTCCTGGGGTTCAGTTAATTTGCTAGAGTGGCTCAGAGAACTTAGAGAAAAATTTACCTAAATTTACCAGCTTATTAGGGAGGATATTATAAAGGATACAAGTGAATAGCCAGATGGAAGAAATGCATAGGGCAAGCTTTGTGGGATGGGGCTCAGAACTCCTGTTCCTTCCAGGAGCACCACAGTCCTCACCATTCTGCGTGTTCATCAACCCGAAGTTCTCTGAAGCCTGTCCTTTTGGGTTTGTATGGAGGCTTCATTACATAGGCAGATTGGTGAATTCATTGGCCATTGGTGATTGAACTCTATTGCCAGCCCCTTTCTCCTCAGAGGTCATCAGGGTGGAATTGAAAATTCTAACCCCTCAGTCCCATGGTTGGGTCCCCTGACCATCAGTCCCCATCCTTAGGCTACCTTGGGGCTTTCCCCAAATCTCATAATTAACAAAAGACACCATTATCACTCTTATCGATTAGGAAATTCCAAGGGTTTTAGGAGCTCTTTGCCAGGAATGGGGATGAAGACCAAATATAAATTGCTTATTATAAATCCAGTATCACCTCTAAGCTATTTAAATTATTTGGTTGTTCTGGAGAAGTGACCAATCCTATTCTCTTCCCATCTTCTGCTCTTATTCTTTCCCTGTGTGGCTGAGCTCCAGGAACTGAGTTCCCCTTGTGGACTCAGTCACTTGAGGCATCGGACTATCAACATTACTTGAACAAAGAACATTTTGAGTCAAGCATTGTAAAGGTGTTGAAGGCATCCACTAAATGATTTCTTATCTGTTTGTTTCCCTCAGGTACAGAACCCTGGTATTTCTATTTGATTAATGGATTTCTTAATTTTAATGTAGCCTTTGCTTTGGCTCTCCTGGTCCTACCACTGACTTCTCTCATGGAATACCTGTTGCAGAGATTTCATGGTGAGTAGTGTAAGGGATGATAGGTTTTTGTGGAGGAAAGAGCAAGTAACAATGTATACCAAGAAGTGAAAATGATTCTACTACTTCTGTTCTCCATTTTTTCCCTATGGAAATGGTTGGCTTAGTGAATTTTCAATCTGTATTTGTAAATTTATGTGAAGATTTGGCTAATAATTGCAAGTTAAACTGACAAAAGGAGGAACTTTATATCCTTTCAAGTGGGGAAATCAGTATAGCATACAGAACCACCCAGGGAGGCAAAAACAGTTACCGAATCTCAGGAGATCAGCGTATTTGAGTCTTGTGTATTTTAAAGAAGTGCATGCTAACATGGAAGATGGCTTAAGATAATAAGTAATAGAGGTAAACATTCTTAGGGGAATTACTTCAACCAAAAATTTGAAAACTAAACCGTACAGGGATTTCCCTCAAATTTGATACTGAAGTGAGAGAAGCTTTGGACTTCCTAAGAAACATTTTGCTTCTCTTTGTTCCGTTTTGCTTCTGTGTTTGCCTTATTGTAGAAGGTTTGGTTTGTCAGTTATTTTGCTTGCTTTGACTCTGTAGTGCAAGGCAGTGTTTTCTCAAGTTGTCACGGATTTGGGTATCTAGTGCCCATGTTTCTATTATGGAAGACAGATTTGAGCAGAAGTTCATATGAGCTTTGGAAAGAGATTCAGTTTCAGACTTTTCAGTCTGATTTGGATGCCATATGATCTCTCCATCCCACCCCTCATTCTGCTCTTCTACTATTAATGGTTTATAAAGAGTTCACTGTGTTATACTATTCGAATATGAAAACAGTTTTCAGTCACTTTTGTTTTAACATGACCATAATGCCATTATCCTAACAAAAGCAACAGTAATTCCTAATATCTAATACCCAGTTGATGTTCAGGTTTCCTACATTGTCTGAAAAACAGCTTTTTATAGTTAGGTTTTTTTTTTTTTTTTTAAAGAGGATCTAAAAGGGGTCATATACTGAATTTGGGATTAAGTTTCTTAAACTTTTTATGAGGTTCCCCCCCTTCTTTTTTCTCCTGAAGATTTCTAAAGAAATTAGGTCATTCACTTTGCAAAGTGTCCCACATTTGGATTCAGCTGTTTGTCACCTGGAGGTGTTAACTTATTCCTCCATTCCTTGGATTTCCTAAGGATCACTTTATCTTTTTTTGAAAAGTAACTTTTTTTTTTTAACTATAAAGATAATTTATGCTTGTGGAGAATTTGGAAATGTTTGTGATGTAAGTATAAAAACAGCGTGTTAAGCTGTTCTCTACAGTATGAATCCAATTTTGGTTTAAAAATGTGTAATTTACACACATGTCCACCTAGTAAGAAAATGAATGCTGTTTTTTTTTATACTTTCTGTGTATTTTGTAATAGAAAAAATACTCTTAAGGGAAAAAAACAAATATAAAGAATCAGGAAAGAAATTGCTTGTTATTCCATCAAGTAGTACAACTATAGTTCTGATTTTGTACATTTTATGGAGGATATTCAAAATTTTAGGTCATATTTTAGTTTTTTAATGTTTAAATATTTAGTAATCTCTACCCTTAATGTGAGACTTTAACTCACGACCCCAAGATCAAGAGTCCCATGCTCTTCTGACTGAGCCAGCCAGGCGCCCCAGTCCATATTTTAAAATGTGTTTGTTTAAAAAAAAATGTATTTGTTAGCCTTTTAAGATACAGAAGAGAAAAATATTTCATTTTCTTATAATTAAGAAATTTCCAACCTAAAAAACTTCCTGGGAGGTATAAATCCTAAATTGTAGCCTAAAATCTCATGGTAAAATCTTAGAGTAGAAAGTTTAAAGGATAAACTTGGTGTTTCAGTTCCAGAATTTTCATCCCTAAAGAGTTTCTACAAAAATCCAGATTAATTGAGGAATACCAAGATGGATCTTTGTGACAATCCAGAGTTTTTCCTCTAAACTTGTTCATTGTAGACATAATGAACACCAGGGGGCACTGTCTATCTACCCTTTGCCAGTGACTTCTAGGCACTGCTGATTATGACTAATAGAAGCACAGTAGGGGGTGCCTTCCTGGTGGGTTGCAGGTTTATCACTTAGTGTTCATGTACCTAACCTTGGGAACTTTCCAGCGGGTGCTTGGGTCTTAGTGCTCATTAAATTCCTTTAATTCTTTAACATGCTTCAAGTATATTTGGGTTCCAATTTTGGGATTCAGAGTGGATGGCTATTGCAAAAGAGGAGAGAAAACGTCATCGGTGAACTTCCTTTAAGAGTGTTTTTATATTTGCTTTGAAACAAACTCTTTTGTGGCTTGACGAAAGCCAGTGATGGGTTTGAGAATCCAGCTTTTTCTTTCCTTTGATCTATAGCTATTTGAACAGACTGATTGGTATATAAGAAAGGAGATTAATGTATTAAACAAAACATGGGAATTAAAAGCCAAGAAAGGAGTTTATGTTACATTTTTGGTTAATCTCAGGAACCTTTAATCTTAGTGGCAGGACTCACTGGGGAGCGAAGGCTTTTTTCTTCAGTGTAGAAATTACTAAGCTCTGTTACCCATTCGCTTGACTTTCATTTGTGTTCTAGCCAAATCCAGTATTGTGCCTCCTGTTAGATGTTGGCTCTCTTGGGGGAGGTCAGGAATATACACCTCTTTCTACTTAACCCCTTTACTGCATCAGAGAAAGTGTGACTCCAAGAGCTGAAATATTTTATGGGGTGCCGTAGGGCGTATTCCTGTTTGAGATCAAGAGAACATTGAAACTAAAAATGTTGTTTCGTTCTAATATGGTGAAAGGTGGATATTTTTCTGTGTCTTACAGTTCAGAATTTAGGCCACCCATATTGGCTTACCTTGGCTCCAATGTATATTTGGTTTATAATTTTCTTCATCCAGCCTCACAAAGAGGAGAGATTTCTTTTCCCTGTATATCCACTTATATGTCTCTGTGGCGCTGTGGCCCTCTCTGCACTTCAGGTGAGTTTCAGGGAAATGCTTATCTGCTTTGTTCCATTTCACTTTCAAAATTGGTCATAAAGCTTAAAGGCAAATTACAGAATGCTTCCCTCAAGATATTTTATCCATGCGTTAAACCTGATACAGATCATATTATTAAAGCTTTATGTATTGATTGCTTGGCTGTTGATCATACTTTTTTTTTTTAATTTTTATTATGTTACGTTAGTCACCATACATTACATCATTAGTTTTTGATGTGGTGATCCATGATCCATTGTTTTCATATAACACCCAGTGTTCCATGTAGTACGTGCCCTCCTTAATACCCATCACCGGGCTACTCTTAAGCTGGTTACATATTTGCACTGTTAATTTGTGTGTTAATTTCTTTCTGTTGCCAACAAGAATCTACTTGATGTTAAAGGAGTTTTATTAAGTCCTTGTATAGGCCTACCACAGGATGGTGGCCTCACAGCAGAGCTACTGGAATGTCTGCTCTTCAACTCCGAGATCAGATTAAAACTTGCTCAAGTGTCTGGAATAACATCAGGCATTTAGCAATATGGGACACTTTGTAATCCTGGCTTAAAACCTGTCCAGGTCAATTCCTTGTCAGAACTAATCTTGAATATCTTTTTGTCTCTGGCCTCAGAAGCCTCCAGGCTCTTTTTTGACCTCTGCTACCATTTGCAACTGGTAGTAAAGAATAATTAGGGTTACAGTTTAGAGATATAATTCACCCATTTAAAAAGTGTAAAAAATTAAATGGTTTTTAGTATATTAACACATATGTGTAACCATCACCACAGTGAACTTTAGAATATTATCACCTCAAAAGCCCTGGACCCATTAGCTGTTATCACCCCCCCTTTCATATCTCCCCAGCCATAAGCAACTACTAATCTATTTTCTGTCTCTGTAGATTTGCCCATTCTAAGCATTCCATGTAAATGGAATCCTAAAGTATGTGGTCTTCTGTGACTGGCTTCTTTCGCTCAGCATTATGTTTTTAGTACTCATCCATGTTAGGATGGTAGTTTAAGAAAAATTTTAAATTATAAAAGTAATTGAACTTTACTGCACATAATTTTTCATTTGCTATTTTTTAAAAAAGATTTATTTGAGAAAGAGAGAGCACAGGCGAGAGTAAGAGCATGTGGACATGGGGGGAGGGGAGCAGAGGGAGAGAGAAACCCAAGCAGTCTCCTTGCTGAGCGTGGAGCCTGATGTGGGGCTCAATTCCATGACTCTGAGATCATGACCGGAGCCAAAACCAAGTCAGACGCTCAACCAACTGCGCCACCCAGGCACCTTTTACTTTACTACTTTATAAATTAGCCCTACTTTATAAATTATAAACTTACTACCTTATAAATTAGCCCTAGTATCCTAACAAAACCACCTTCCTTCCAGCATTGTTACCTATCACATACCAAACTTTATTAGGGTTGTAATCTAAATGTACATATAATTTTACATCCCTTTTAATATAACTACATTATATCATTTTCAGGGTTGTCATATCTGTAACCCATCTTTTGAATAGGAGTATGTTTTAAATTTGGTACAAAAACATTATGTATGTAATGTACTGAATTTGTTACATATAATGATTAGATACATAATTTATGGTAGGTTTAGGATGCTTATTTCAGTATTATAAACAAACAGTGCTAGGATGAATATCTTTAGGTGTTTGGATTGTTTCCCTAGGACAGATTCCCCCAAATATGAAGGAGTTTAAACACATTTATGGCACTAACAAGTAAATATTTGCAAAATTTTACTTCTCCAAAGTTTAGGTCTAGCCTAGGAAGGAAAAGAAATCTAATGGGAACGTGCTCAAAGACTGTAGAATTCATGCACGTATGTATATGTTGTAATAATATTCCTCTAGTTTGTAAAGAGTTTAGCAGATAATTAGCATTTTCCTGATGCTTTGTGAGAGGAATTCTTTTTTCTTGTTTGGTCATGAGACATTCTGTTGATACTAAAAACTGATGAAAACTTCTCAGTGAGAAAAGTAAAGATGAATACTTGTTACATCAAAACAGAGATACTTCATATATCAAAGCAACTGCCAAAAAGCACTTTTGTCTATTTAATTTATTTATTAAGAACAATCTTTTTTTAGGTAGGGTCCGTGCCCAACGTGGGGCTTGTACTCACAACCCTGAGATCAAGAGTTGCATGCTCCACCAACTGAGCCAGTCAGGCACACCAGCACTTTTGTTTAAATATTAAAAGAAAAAATTATTAGGACCTTAAGCACTAGAGAGGTTTCCAAATATTTTTCCTACGAAGCTGGTGAGAATTCCTCTGGTTGGGCTGACCTGTAGATAGTCTTAACGGAATTTGTTTTCATCTTAGAACTTGGAGCGGGTGCCTCACCAAGTGTTTGCAAATGCTCAGACCCTTAATAGACTCTCTTCTGCTGCTTTTTCCCTCTTGGTGTTATTATGATGTTTTCTGATTGCGTTACGTATATTCTGCAAGTTCTTTTTTTTTTTTTTTTTTTTTCAATACAGTTTTCTTTCCTTCTAGAAATGCTACCACTTCATGTTTCAGCGATACCGCCTGGAGCATTACACGGTGACGTCGAACTGGCTGGCATTGGGAATGCTCGTCCTGTTTGGGCTCTTGTCCTTTTCTCGCTCTGTGACGCTGTTCAAAGGTAGATGCACAGCGGAGGTCTTGCCCTAGACTCACGAGGCACCTCAGCTTGGGTTTTGATGGATACGTGATTGATACAGTTCAGCTTCAGCTGGGAGGAGGACTGCTATAAAGAGACCCTGTGGACTTAATATTGTGACAGGGATGTGACTTCTCTTCCTTAAAATGAAAGAGAAGGCTGAGAATTCTACAAGGAATTTGTGACGGACTATAAATTTTTTTTTCTATTCTTGTTTTTGGTTACTGTTGATTTTTTAAAGGATGCTTTTTCATTTTGAAGGATGAATTAAGCGTTGAACATAGGAAGCAAATTTGGGGCTCAATTCCCATGATTGTATTCTTCCTGTAATTATTATTTGGATCCAGAAGATTAAAATGTGCTCAAAGAACAGAAGTTAAAAAGGCAGAAGGGTGTAGCCTCTCATCTTACTCATCTTTGGCTTTCACAAACCTCTCTTCCTTCCAGGGTATCACGGGCCCCTTGATTTGTATCCAGAATTTTACCGAATTGCCACGGACCCAACCATCCACACTGTCCCAGAAGGCAGGCCTGTGAATGTCTGTGTAGGAAAGGAGTGGTATCGCTTTCCCAGTAGCTTCCTTCTGCCTGATAAGTAAGTTTTCCTTTAATTCCCAGAGTTTTATTTTTTATGCTTATTATTATTTATTTTTAAAATATTTTATTTATTTGACAGAGAGGCAGCGAGAGAGGGAGAGGGAGCAGGAGCGGGAGAGGGAGAAGCAGGCCTCCCGCTGAGCAGGGAGCTCCATGCGGGGCTTGATCCCAGGACCTAGAATCATGACCTGAGCCGAAGGCAGATGCTTAATAACTGAGCCACCCAGACGCCCCCTAATTCCCAGAGTTTTAAATCAAGGAGTAAAAATAGCAATTCTATGACAGTGTCTCCTTAATTTTTCTTTCATGTTCGGATTTTCACAAAAAGTTGTTGGATAATTGACCACTTCAGAGCTGTAAGATTGGCACTGTGCAACCACAGCAGTGTTCAGTGGACTGGCGGCTGTGTCTAGCCACACACCCCGTGCTCCTTGTAACTGCAGGGACTTCTAAAAACCCCTGGGGCCCCAGGCTCCTGCTGGTGGCGCTTCTTGAGGATTCATATGTAAATTTCAACAATCATCTGATATTAATCCACTTCTAAAAGTAGTCTAGAAACTCTAGCTAGAAGAGTGTTTTTAGAGAAGAAATGTTTGTCATCCAACGATAGTGAAAGTTCTTTACCAGCAAGTGGACGCTGGGGAAAGCTGTGGTTAAGGTAAGTGTACCACTTGCCTTCATGCTCTCTGTTGGATGATAGCATAGGCTCAGGAGTTCCTCGTGTTTGCTTAATTCGGACCGAGAAGATCCTATTTAGGGAAAAGGGAAGTCAGGTTAAGATGAGTCATGTTGTTCCATTTGGGAATTGGCTTCAGCAGCTTAGCTGGTGGGGGTATCTTGTGCTGAATGAAGATCCTGTATCAGTCATTAATCATTAAATTGTGGGGTTTTTTTTTTTTTTTGAAGTATTAACTAACGTTAGCCTTTGCCTTTTACCTTTGCAATAGTTTCACAACTAAAGATACTTGTGAGAATTACTCAGGGACAAAGTACTCCCATAGTGTGTTCTTGCATTTCACTCTTTTCCTACCTGATGAATTTGCTTTAATTTGGTAAGTGCCTCTGTCATGTGGTTATTGGTGATAAACTGGGATGCTTCTCTGGTTGTTTGGTGGAAGGACCATTTGGTTGCAAATTTTACTGCCAAGAGTTGGTGGAATAGGTTGAGAGACCTCTCACTGAAAATTTCTCAACGATATTGGACTGAATCATGACCTTTGCCTCTATGCCCCCGGCGGAGGTTTTAGCAGAAATATTTTTTTCTCCAAGCGAGATGTTTTTCACATGAATTTTTTTTTTTTGGCTTATTTCAAGTACATTTAGCAACATGGGCCCCCTGTGTTTTTCTTACTCTTCCTTATTTGTGTTTCTGACAGTTGGCAGCTTCAGTTCATTCCATCAGAGTTCAGGGGTCAGTTACCAAAACCTTTTGCGGAGGGACCGCTTGCCACTCGAATTGTTCCTACTGACATGAATGACCAGAACCTGGAGGAGCCATCCAGATACGTAAGGGCGACAGTTTCTTTCACCACTTGAAAGTTCTACCCTAAAATCTGTTGGCATACACGTTGGAGCCTTGATTAAATGGGAATTTCTTAGAAAGTGATTTCTTTTTTTTTTTTTTTTAAAGATTATTTATTTATTTGAGAGAACGAGAAAGGGAAAGAGAGCACATGAGAGGGGGGAGGGTCAGAGGGAGAAGCAGACTCCCCGCCGAGCAGGGAGCCCGATGCGGGACTCGATCCCGGGACTCCAGGATCATGACCTGAGCCGAAAGCAGTTGCTCAACCAACTGAGCCACCCAGGCGCCCTTAGAAAGCGATTTCTTTAGGGTAAGAGATGTAACAGCTTTTGTTGAGAATGATAGCACATTTAGAATTTCCTTTTATTTTCTGTGAAACACATAGTTCAATATATTTTCTGAGCCGGTCTGGAAATTTTCTTACGTTGAATTCAAATCATTTTGAAACATTCTGAAACTCTTATCATTCCCTGGCTCATTAAAATATTTGGTGGGGAACTTTCAAGTTCTCAGTAGACCTTTGACCTAATTATCAGTGTATTCTGGTTTTAGCAAATGGACGTCAGTGAATGAAGGCTATTTTCCTGGTGAGTGCATGGTGCAATCTCTGTCAGGGTCGTGCTCTTTCACCCACTCATTTCTGTGTACTCCAGGATCCCATGTGGTTTTATTTCAGTTCCTTTGAAAGATGACACTTGCGCCATTTGATACTTGTAAAATCTTTGTAGAAAAGGTGAATGCGATAAAGATAATGTTCCTGGTTCCCGGAGACAGCAGAAGAGTATTTTATAGAATTATTAGAAAGCAGTTTTTTTTTTTTTTTTTTTTTTGGGCAACCTGTCTTTTAAAGAATCATTTAACGGTTTAGATGTCAAACACATTTTGGGTAAGTTTTCCCATATACCTCCTATGTGAAATGACCGGGACTCGTGGTATTGTGAAGGGCTCCTGCAGCCACACGTGGCCTTTTGTCTCCCAGATGGAGACCCTCAGGGCTTATGAGGGAGAGTCTTACTGTGGGAGTTTAAGCTATAAGCTATGGAAATGGCCATTGTCAGATATATATTTGGCCTGGCCCCCTCTGTATTCCATCAAGGGGTTTATATCAGAGTTTTTTTTTCCTAACTTAAGCTTCTGATTCCTGGAATATTGAAAATACCCCAGGATGGGGTAAAGTGTTTTTGGTCACTTTTGTTTTAGCTGCAGATACTCTCCTGACAGCAGGCCTTGATGGGGAGCACCATGAGGACACGGGATAGTCAGAAGGTTAGGCACATACCCTATAATGACGGGGCGGGGGGAGACACAAATTCAGAGTGATGTTGTCACAGTTCTGTTTTAAGAAGGAGGAGGATGGACTTTGAGTCAAGTAGGCCTGAGTTCAAATCCTAGTTTTCTTGCTTACCTTGGTGACCTTGGGCAAATTAGTTAACTTCTCTATTTAATTTGTTTCTATCTGTAAAATAGAATAATGGCACCCATTTGGAAGATTATAATGAGCTTAGATATTCTATCTGTCATACTTAGCATAGTGTGGTACATAGCTTTTCCCACAAATGTTCTTAATCTGGTAATGGTGTATCAGGTGGATTGGAGGGAAAGGAACCCTTAAGAGGATTTATAATCTGCCTGAATCTCTCTCTCCTTCCTTCCTTTTCTTGTTTTCCGACCTGATTTTTGTCCACCCACACCCATCATTGCCTTTTCCATCCCAGTGACTTTGCTTATCTTGGTGACTGTGCCTAGGCTACCTTTGTCTCCCTCCTTCTGCCATCAAAACTCTCTTCCTGTCTATAGCCTTTCCCACCTACCTAAGCCCACAGTGAGCTGTGCTCCTTTAAATGCCTGAAATACTTTACCGCTCATTTGGCCATTCATTTTTGTCTTATGTTATTTATGTATTTCTGATATGTATGTCCTGTGTCTCCTTATCAGCCTGTGAATGCTGTGGAGAGAATGCCTGCACCCTGTTTCTTCTTAACCCCGTATTCACTGTAGCATCTAGGATAGTGCTGTGTGTCTGGTAGTTACCCTGCGTGTGCTTTCCGAGTGGGGAAATGAACATTCCTCATCATTGGCACAGTGATCTTGAGAGAAAGCTGGCTATAAAATCTTACAGTGGCCTTTTGCACGTTTCTCAGGCTTTGGTCACTGGTTGTTTTTGGTTAGATCATATTCCCATATACTCTGCTACCAGACACTGTTAAATTTAGTTCAGTGGCTCTATGTTAGCTTTACCCAAAAGCAAAGATTTTTCGGAATACCTGTAAGAGTCACCAAAATGCTGATTAAAAACAAACAAGTCCAATGTATCTACTGAGTGTGTAGTGTCCACTGTTGTGCTTGTCCACCTTCCTGTGTTTGAGAGTTTTCCTGCAAAGCTCTTTCTGACATTTCCTGCCTGGTAGGACAAGTGTCCTCCAAATCCAGGCTGCTCACCTTTCATCCTTTGGAAAGTAAAGGAGACATTTGACAGCTTGCTGTGAATTCAACGTGAACGATGATCAGGGATTCATTTCTTTCAGTCAGTTGGTTTTCTTCTGATGATAAAAACATAAATTCATTGTATAAAATAATGAAGGCTATCAATAAAAAAGTCATCTATAATCTTATTACCCGAATTTTAAACTATGTTTACCATTTTGGTCTTTTTGTCTTTTACTCGTTTCCCTTGCATATATGTAGACAGGTATGTTAACAAAAATGTCAGTTATTAAAAAAATTTTTAATGTAGTTTTTAAGAAATAGTGCCAGGATTGTGGCTGTGATAATAGCTTGGCCTGGTGTGTAGGAGCACATGCTAGACTACATCAGTGCTCGTTCCTTCCGGTACCAGTCCTGGTTCTTTCAAGGAGACAAAGTCATGATGTTCCCTGTCTTCGCTCAGCATGTGGGATGCGGCAGTGCTTTTATCAGCCCATTGGCTCTGAGACACAGGTTTTAGCCAACCTTTGGCTTCAGTGCTCAGTGGTGAGGTCTGTCTCCTCTTTCTGGTCTGCGTGGAAATGAGGATACATGCAGGACTTCCTTTACTTCACTGTCCTCCTTGACGTCTGAGTCGATCAAGAATTAAGAGTGTAAATGCTCTTTGGTTTCTACAGCACTGTTGGAACTATCTTGCAGAAATATTTTTATTTTGCTCCCTATTCTTTCATTCATTCTTTCATGAGTAGCTTTTGAACATCTCATTATTGAATGGGTGGCATTTTTACAGGGGTGCATGCCAGATTTCCTGCCAAAATCAAGGTGTGAATTTCGAAGATACATTCAGTGTCTCCTCTTTATTGACAAATTCAGTTTTTCATTGGCTCTTTCAAGGTGAATGATATCCTTCTGACTCCAAATCTGAAACCTGATGTGGGAGCAACAGAAGTAACAAACACCTGTTCAGGAGGGATCTTAGACTTTTCTCTGATTTTAACTTATTGCATAAACAGACTCGGAGGAAGCTTGTCCATCTGTTCTGTTTGAAAAAATGGAAGTGTTCATTGATGACTTTTCCCAAAACAGTGATACAGTCAGTTCTGCTCTAATGTGATATAAAGTTGCTAAAAATCATTGTGTGGTAAAAACCCACAAGGCTCCTGTCTCACATTGAAGTCTTTCAACCATTTTGAGTCTATTTTTGTGTGTGGTGTAGGAAATGGTCCAGTTTCATTCTTCTGCATGTGGCTGTCCAGTTTCCCAACACCATTTGTTGAAGAGACGGTCTTTTTTCCATTGGACATTCTTTCCTGCTTTGTCGAAGATTAGTTGACCATAGAGTGGAGGGTCTATTTCTGGGCTCTCTATTCTGTTCTTTTGCGGGGGAAAAAAACCACGAGGCTTATGGGGAAAATGGGATTAGGGACACAGTACTCAAAAACATTGTCAGTGATGCATAAAAAAAGATATGAGCCTATAAAAATGGTCGCACAGTTTCACATGTTGAGTGGCTGAAAGTACATAAGTACTAGAGTAATGTGGGAGTTTACCTTGAAACAGACCTGAAGTGTGCTTGTTGCAGTGGTGCTGGAAGGCTTATCTGCAGGAGGACAGAAAGTCATCCTGCCAAAGCGGTCGGGTGCGGCCTGGAGCACAGCGTGTGCTGCAGATGCGGGGAGACCACGGAGTGTGCGTGCGTGCACTTGGTGTACTCCTTCTCTGACAACTCAGCTGAGTGCAGTGTGCCCGCTTCACCGCGTGTTTCTCGTGGATTAAATGACACAAGAGCAAAAGCAGAAATTGAATTACTCAGACTGTTCCCTGATATATCTGCTGTGTTGGAACAAATTTGCATTTTCAAAACAAGTGTTACAACAGAATTGACTGTGTATTCAGTCAAAACTTAAGTTTTGACTTAAGTACTTGTTCTTAAGTCCTTGTTTTTCTCATTTAATCAGTGGGAAGAATTATGAGTTTGGAAGGGAATTTAAGATACCACAGAGTCCATGATCTCTTCATTTTATGGGTGAAGAAATGGAGGCTCAGAGGGGTTGTAACCTGACAAAGGTTAGTCTAGTATGAGAAGCTTGGTTTCAGGATTCCCCAATATTTTTTTCATACCTCTTACTTCCAAAGCCACTTACGGTTTATACTATATGGCATATCCCTTGAATGTATGTGTGTGTTCCTGGTTAATCATTCTTTGATGTAACAAGGTTGAATAGACAATAAATAGCTAAGCATTAATTTTTAAAGAAGTTACTTTACATTTCTCGAGCTCTGATATATATATATAAATGCCAGGTATTTTTAGTGGCGGTTGTGTTTGTCTATAGGAATAATCAGGGTCCTCACCCCTGTTTCTTCTTTCTGTCCTGTTTTCCTTGTCCTTCCTCCTCCTCCTCTTAGAAAGCCTTACTGCAGGAGAAAGTGAGTGGTCCTATAGATAATCCTTGCTGATCATTATCAGCCTCGTATTGAAGCAGAAGAAGGTCCAGATTGCTGTAATATGTGCAGTGGAATAAGGTGGGAATCGCTAAGAATTTAAGTGAAGGCTATA